TCACAAAGCAAAAGAAATTGTTGTTTAGGAAAATAATTGTGTATGCTGACTGAATGTTATCGAGAAATGTCGAAATTAATCACAAACTACCTGTTTCGTTAGTAATGACTACTAGAACTGTTTGCATTGCCATCTAACATTTGCGGGCGGAAACTAAGTTAAGGTCCTAATAAGGCGTATTGCCAAAATTAAATGTAATACCTGCTCCTGCATGAGCGCCGCTATTACCTGTGCAAATCAAATTATTTCAAGTTATCGAAAAAATCTTTGTAAGTTGATAAATCCGAATATTTAATTTGATATTATGTGTGTAAAATTAAATTTATTATATAAAACTAGTTTATATTTATGAAACTAGCCTCTATATCAGTATATTACGTATAATAAAAAAAATACTACCGTATGAAGCCTGAGATTGTATGGGTATCCTACCATGGGGTATGCTTCCAAAATTAGATGTTACACCTGCTTCAGCGTGAGCACCGCTAATACCTACGCACATTAAGTTAATTTAAATTATTGCAAAAATTGTTATAAGCTGATAAATCGGAGCAGTTTTAATCTCATACGCGTGCGCGCGTGCGTACATACACACACGTGCCAAATAACCAGATTTATTATATAAAATTAATTTATATTTAACTGTCTCTCTCTCCTTCTCGTATCACAGATAATTAAGGAGAATATAGAAAATTGCTTTTTAATTTAATATATTTAATAAATAAGTACGCACTTGTTGCTCCAAATTGCCCATAAAATCTATTTTGATTTCCACTTGGACTTTTAAGACTACTTGGAGAAATCGTACCGCTTCCTTCATATGATGTCGCGGGGGAAATACTACTCGGAGATTTATCATTTTTCACTAAACTACTGTCGAAAGGTGTCGCACCTATTTTTACGGGACCATGGTTTCCTGATATAACATTAACGCAAATTAATACAAAATCCGCATATAAATTATATTTTTTATGATGATCGCATAAATATCATGATATAAATAATAGTATAAATAATAAACAATAAAATAATAAATCAGACAAAGGACACATTTAAGTGTGTCATTTCAATTCTTTGCAAGAATGTTATCATACAAACCTTGATTACAACTCGTATCAGGTCGAGTACAACTAGATGTACTAACTAACATTGTTCCTTGATTCGTACTCCAACTTGATCCAGATTTGCCGTCAAATCCAGTGTTCTGATTTCGTCCAAGATTGACTGTTGATACGGAGCTTCCAATAGACACGCCATCACGTCCAGTGCTCCAAGATGTTACGGGTTTTTGCGATGAAGAAGCTGGAGCACCAAATTCAGTGTTCCAGCTTGATTCAGGTTTCGGTGTAGTCTCGAAACTTTGAGCAGGTTTATTATCGTGACCCACGTTCCTATTCGGCATAGGTTTCTGCGAGGAAGAAAATCCTGTAGTTGGAGCACCAGGTCTCACGTTCCAACTTGATCCAGGTTTCGGTGTTGTACCGAAACTTTCAGCAGGTATATTACTATGATTAGGATTCCAATCTGACGCAGGTCTTCGTAAGAAAGGAGATCCTGTTGTTGAAATATAAGGGAATCTAGTATCCCATCCTTTTCCAGGTCTTAATGTCGTTCCATAGCCCCCGATAGGTATATTATCGTGTCCACTAGCCCAAGATGTTCCAGACTTCTGTGAAGCAGGAAAGCTACTAGTTGGAGCACCAATTCCAATATTCCAGCTTGTTTCAGGTTTCGGCGTACGTTCGTAGCTTCCAGCAGGCGTGTTATCATGACCAACATTCCAATTTAATCCGGGCTTTTGCGAGGAAGGAAAACCTGTTACCGTTGGGTTACTGCTAAATCCAATGTTCCATGTTGGACTTGGTGTCGTTCCGATATTTCCAGCAAACGTGTCGTCATGTCTGCCATCCCCAGCAGACTTCGGTGTGGACCTATAGCCAGTCGATGTTGTTCCTTTGTTCCAACCAGTTCCTAGCCTATAAATTGGCGTTGTCATGAAAGTATTTACAGTTACGCCGCTGTATCCTGGCTTCGATGTACTAGCAAACGGAGTGTTCCAGATAGATCCAGGTCTTGGTGTTGATGCGTAACTACTAGTTAACCCTGCGTATCCGATGCTCCCCGGAAAATTGGTAACTCCAAAACCATCAGGTTTAACTCCTTCTTTGACATTATCGCCGTATATGCCTGTGGGTCCTGTCTTATGTACTCCGAGTGGATGAAATTCAGATACATGTTCTTTAGATCTACTTCCACCATGATGATGCGTTTTATCAGGCCTGTATTGGCCATCGTCATCATCGCATTCGTCTCCATTGTTCTCATTCCCTTCTTCTTCGGGTTCGTCTCGTTCCCAGTAGTCGTCATTCTCCCATTTGCATTTAGAACAGCCATCATTGTCCTTATTATAGTTTTGACTACCGCTTTTCGTTCCGCGACCGAGAGATTTTACATCACGATTAGCATCGTTGTCTTGAGGAAAATTAGTATTGTCATAACTACGAATTCCTTTATGTCTTTCGTGTGCAGTAGGAAAATGTCCTGTTGTTGTAAACGCATTCGCGCCACTTAATGCAGATACATCAGTATCGGCTCCAGCATATGCACTAGCTGATACGCTGCCTAAAGAAAATAAATATATATTTTTTATTACTATTATATTCTAATAAAATATAATAGTTATTATATTCTAATAGAATATAATAATTCTAATAGAATGTTATTGCAAATCATATTTCATCATTTATTTATTTTCATTACATGACGCGACAAGCTGATACGCTGTCTAAAGGAAATAAGTGTATATTTTTTATTACTATTATATTCTAATAGAATATAATAGTTCTAATAGAATGTTATCGCAAATCATATTATATCATCAAAATTTATTTTCATTATATGTTGCGACGAATAAGATGTAATCATACTGCGGAAAATAAATTTATTAATTAATTATAGACACATTATAATTGAAACACAAACATTGGGTGTGCGATATTACAATTAAATTTATATGACATTTATAATGTTATATAAAGAGAGAAATATGTAGTACTATTTTTATACTATTTTATTACTAATATAAAAGAAAACTTTAAATATACGTACTTTAAAAATCTACAATCTATATTGCACTGTTATATATATTCTTTGATTTTTTATAATAAAAAGCAAACAAATTTAAACAAGATTTCTTAATGAATTAGATTCCTTAATGGCATAGTTTTACAGAAATTTGAAATATTCTTAAAATTTGGGATTCCGATTTTTTCGCACCAATCATCATATTTTACAATAACTCGTTCCTGACAGGAAATATCTTACAACGCAAATAAAAAAAAAATGCGCATCTCTGCAGACGAACTTTGCAGACGAATAACCATATATATAATCATGACATGATTCAGAAAAAGCCTCCACTATATAAGTAAAGATGATTTCACTAATATGCACTCAAGAAAAGAATTGTTATACGTACTAAAGGCACTACTGCTACCTGCATTGTTGGTTGCACGTGCACCTGAGAATTAAAAATATATAAATTTAAATAATTACAAACAACACTTATTAAACATGTACACAAAACGCAAATTGAAAATATTTTCAACAAAATAATCACTTTTATGTATTTTAAACTATCAATTATTAAATGTATTTCTGGAAGTCACAAGTTATTTTCATGTATTTATATCTCTTTATACAGGAATAAAAAGATGGACAAAATTTTCAATGAAAATATTAATTAGCACTTTAAAAGGTAAGGATCTTGAAAACTTAGATTTTTTTTAATTAGACATGTTTGCACATAAATATATTTTATTGTCAAAATATATTTTGAATGTTCATTCTATATGTACAATTTGTTAAATGAAATTAAATTTTTTATGATGTAACAACAAAGATTCGAAAAATTCTTCTATGTGATTTTATATATATATATATATATATATATATATATATATATATAT